AATTGCAAACCGGATTGTATACCGGAACAAGGAAATTGTCCGGAGCATTGCCCTCCAGAAGATCCGGACTGCGTCTACAGAATACCAGTCGATTATGAACCCATCTCTCCCAAGTTCGTTGAATGTAAGAAATATGATTCAAGTTGTATTCCAGACTGCAGTTTCGTGAGAGGAGAATGTCCAATATTCTGTCCACCAAGTGACGTACATTGCGTTATCAGAATTCCGGAAGGTGAGGCCCCTGAAGAGGCTTTACCCACTTTTGTCACATGTGAAACTGTAAACGAGTTTTGTTTTCCTAACTGTAATCCAAATATACCAGGAGATTGTCCAAGAACCTGCAAGAAATATGAACCTAGCTGTGAACTAATTATACCGTCGCCTTACCAAGATTGCGATCCTCAAGATTCTGTCTGCTTATCAAACAAACCCAAACACAAAAGAGCCAAGCTTGCCATCTTCATTAAATGCAGGAAGTTCGATCCAGACTGTAGACCCGACTGTGATCCTAAACTGAAGAATTGTCCTAAATATTGCTCTTCGGGTAGACCAGATTGTATCTACCGTATTCCGAACGATTATAAACCGAGATCACCGAAAATAATTGCATGCAAGAAAAACGATGCAAATTGTCATCCGGATTGTCATCCGAAACTTAACGATTGTCCATCGATGCCGTGTCCACCGAACGATCCACACTGCGTGATTCGTGTTCCCGAAGATGAAATAACGGAAGACCTTTTACCCGATTTTGTAGAATGCGATTACGATGATGACGAAGATTGTCCAATTGACTGCGATCCCAAAGAAAATAACTGTCCGTTCACTTGTCCGAATAAGAATCGGGAATGTACACTGAGGATTCCTCCGCAGCACAAAGATTCCGATCCTCATGGTACACCCTACCAGCCATCCAAACCGAATCGAGCCAAGGTTGCCATTTTCATTAAATGTAGAAAGTTCGATCCAGAATGTAGACCGGACTGTAATCCTGATCTGGACAATTGTCCTGAAACTTGTCCTCCGGGAAGACCAAACTGCATCTACCATATTCCGAACGAAATCAAACTGAATTCGCCGCACATAATTCCATGCAAAAAATACGATCCCAATTGCATTCCGGATTGTCATCCGAAACTTAACGATTGTCCATCGATGCCGTGTCCACCGAACAATCCACACTGCGTGATTCGTCTTCCCGAAGATGAAATAACGGAAGACGTTTTACCTGATTTTATGGAATGCGATGACGAAGATGACGATGACTGTCAAATTGACTGCGATCCCAAAAAGAACAACTGTCCATTCACTTGTCCAAATGATCAGCGATGCCTGCTGTTTATTCCTCCGCAACACAGAGATTGCAATTCTAGTGATCCGGATTGCCCGATCGAGTGCGATCCCAAAGATTTAGACTGTCTTAAGTATAAACCGGATAAATCTAAGGTCGCTGTATTCGTTAAATGTGAAAGATACGATCCGAGCTGCAGACCTGATTGCGATCCGAAGAGAGGCGATTGCCCGAAAATTTGTCCACCGAATAAACCGAACTGCATCTACAAAATCCCGAGTGACTTCCCATACAATAAACCAAAGGTAAGAGAATGTTCATTGCACGATGATCACTGCGTACCGGACTGTTATCCAGAGAAGAGAGACTGTCCCATATTTTGTCCTCCGTACGATATGGAATGCGAAATCGTCGTACCGGCAGGATCCAATTTACGATTGCCGGTTGTGCGCGAATGCAGAAAGGGGGATATCTATTGTCAGGTCGATTGTATTCCGCAAAATAATTATTGTCCGATGGAATGCCCGAAGTTCGATCCGAATTGCGTCATCTATATTCCTCCTCAATTCGATGGTAAATATAAGAGACTACCGACTAAAGACGCGGAATGCGATCCCAGAGATAGGCAATGCAAGCTTTTCAAGAAACCTGATAAGGCCAAGGTGGCGATCTTCGTGAAATGCAAGAAATACGATCCTGAATGCAGACCTGATTGTCTGCCGGAAAACGGAGATTGTCCAAATCAATGCGACCCGAGCAGACCGAACTGCGTTTACAATATTCCAACTAACTTCACTCTGAATCGACCAAACATTGTCGAGTGTAGAATAGATGATCCTAGTTGCATACCTGATTGTCACCTGAAGAAGGGCAATTGTCCTCTGTTCTGTCCACCGAACAATCCGAATTGCGTGATTAGGGTACCAGCGGCGGAGTCGCAGGATGAGTCTGTTCCGCTGTACGTAGAATGCGATCCTGATGATGAAAACTGCGTGGTAGATTGCGACCCGAAACGAGGAAATTGTCCTTCCGTTTGTCCTAAACACCAAAGAGGATGCGTGATTAACATTCCTCCTCAGTTCATTGAAGAGTGCGATGTTAGGAAACACGACTGCAATATACCGGTATTCGTGAGGTGCGATCCGAACGACGTGTTCTGTAAACCTGACTGCAATCCAAACCTTTACAATTGTCCATCGAGGTGTCCGCAAAACAATTCGAAGTGTGTGTTGAAGATTCCGCATAATGCTGAATTGAAGCAGCCGATTTACGAGAATTGCGAGTACGGTTTGGACTCGTGCGCGCCGGATTGCTTCATAGATGATAACTCTTGTCCTCTGTTCTGTCCCCCGTACGATCCCGATTGCGTTGTCATGATTCCGTATGGAGTATACGCAACGCCAGTCGAGATAGTCGAGTGCGAACCGTTCGACGACAACTGTCAGGTGTTGTGCGAAGCAGTAGAGGATTGTCCGTCGCACTGTTTGGAGAACGAAACGCATTGCATTGTGAAGATTCCGAAACAGTTCAACTCGCACATACCCAAGTTTAGGTTGTGCAAAAAGTTTGATGCAAATTGCAAGATCGATTGCGATCCGAGATTGGACAATTGTCCGGACGTTTGTCCGAGGAATCAACCGAACTGTGAGCTTTTGATACCGAGCAACACGGAACTAACCCAACCCGATTTGATACCGTGCAAGGATAAGGATTTTTCATGTAAACCTGATTGCAATCCGCGCAGAAACAACTGTCCGATGTATTGTCCTCCGTACAATCAGCAGTGCCAATTGAGAATACCGGAAAAGGCAAAGGTCAATAAACCGAAATTCGTCGTGTGCCAGTTTGGTAACACAGATTGCATTCCCGATTGCGATCCGCGGGAACTCAATTGTCCGGTCATTTGTCCTGAGAACAAACCGAATTGCGTGGTGAGGATTCCTCCGCAAGTCAATCTTCCGATCCCAGTAAAAGGACCTAGGAAACCACCGCAGACGATCAACGTAGATTCTCCGTACGTGATATGCGATCGGTTCGATCCTTACTGCACTCCTGACTGTGATCCACGAAATAATGGATGTGCGCAAATGAAATGTCCGATGAATGATCCGAAATGCAAGATATATTTACCAAGCGATACCCTTTTGAATGCCCCAACTTACAGCAAATGCAGGCAAAACGATTTCAGGTGTACTCCCGATTGCGACCCGAGGAAGAGAAACTGTCCCACGCAATGTCCACCCAATGATCCGGACTGTGCGTATTTGTTACCTGCAGATTTCCAAATGGCAACGCCGAATTACGTTAACTGCGAACCGCACGATATGGACTGTATTCCGGATTGTAATCCTAAGAAACACAATTGTCCTATCACATGTCCTCCGTACGCAGCTGAATGCGAATACAATATACCTCCGTACACGACGATGAATGCTCCGAATGTGATCACTTGCGAGGAGAACGATCCTAGTTGCGTGCCAAACTGTTACGAAGGTGCGCATTGTCTGCAAGAATGCGATTACAATGAACGCGATTGCGAGGTCAGGTTACCACCGGACACCGTTGTTAACGTACCACAATTCGAGCGTTGCAAATGCGTGCCGGATTGCGATCCGCACAGAGGAAACTGCCCGAAGATTTGTCCACCGGGTAAACCAATCTGTACGTACAGAATACCCGATCACTCGATGATGTCACTGCCTGAACCGATCACCTGCAGACCCTACGATCCCAACTGCAAACCGACCTGCAATCCGCGAAAGAACACGTGCCCTCTCATCTGTCCACCTTGCGAACCGATTTGCATCGCGAAAGTTCCCAGAAGGACGATAGACGATGATTACGGTGACGACGACGACGACGATGATAGCATAGAAGTGGACATTGCGATTGGGCCGATCCAGAAGAGGCCGGGATTCAACGATGACAGTGGTGTTTATCATCCGCCCAAGGAGAACATAGGTATTAGCGTGAAAGAGAAATCGAACGAGGAGGAGGATGAGGAGGACGATAGCGACTCGTCGAGCGACGAGGATAGTTCCGGCGATACGGTACAGATCGAGATCGGTGTGAATCAACCGACTATCAACGAAATTGATGATGCGGACAAACGAAATGAGAATTCGGGAAGCGTGGAAGTTATGGTGGAGATTGGAAAAACGAATGACGAAGAAACGAACATCGACGAAATTCCTGTCGTCGAAGAGCGGAAGAAGAGTAAAAAGAAGAAGAAGCACCATGCTGGTAAGTTTTGATTTGATTGATATTGGAAATGGAAAATGTTAAATTTCAAACTTTTACATTGCAGTTGTGCCCTTCATGAAGACGGAGGAGCACTGCGAAGACTGTCGTAACTTCTGCGTAAAGAAGATGATGAAGAAGAAGGGCGGCGTATGCATAGACGACGTCTGCTACTGCGTCATGTAATTTATTATGGGAATTGATTTAAACTTATTGTAATTAAAGTAATTTTAAGAAAACCACCACTGTTTCTACTAAAACTCCAAACTAAACCACAATAATCATCTATATAAATATAATCTATATAAATTTTAGCCTAACTTAAATCAAGTGAATTTGTTATTCGTTTGGACAACGTCTGCTAAATAGATTTGTCTAGATGAGATTAATACGAAATGCAATAATTAAGTTGAAACTTTCATTTAGGAGGGTGGAAATGTGCGAAAGGTATAAATGAGAAGAGTTCCAATTTGTAGCAACTACGTTTTATTTATTGCAAACTTCTTTTTTTTCGTTACCTAATTTAATTAACTTGTGGGATTAAAGCTGTTTAGGGGGTCTCTTCCAATCGAGGCAAGTGTCCAATCGGTGGAAGTCAATTAATCGACAACACCTTTACTTCCTGCAATTGCAGACTCCGTCGATGCATCTTCCACCTCTGAAACCCTTCAGCATGGCGAGGCAGTGGGCGGCGCAGACCGAATGGTTGACGGAACCGTAGGGCGTCGATACGCTCAATAAATCGCAGGTCACCCTGCGTTGCCTGTTGGCCCTTTCCACAACTTGTCCTGCAAAGAAAGGAAGAACAAAAAAATGAAGCTGCAATTAAAGCGGCGCCTCGCCGTAAAACAGAATTATCTGGATTAGCTGAACGAGTCGAGTGGAAACGCACAAAAATTGAAACCCTCGAGATTTAACATGTGTAGTTGTCGAGATTAGATTAGATTAGTTTTCTACCTTCGGCATCTTGCTCAACCGGTCCAGCGCTCACGAAGCTGGCAACCATCAGGCACAGAGCGACCAAAGCGAAGAAGAATTTCATCTTATTAGTTTTTGTTTTGTTGGTTTACTTGAGGAAAGTCTTGATCTATTAGACACGATCTTCGTTTTGATACTGCTTTGAAAAATGCCAACGTCCAGTATATATACGAATCGCATCCATTCGGTGCGGTAAATCCCCATTTCCAATACTCTTACTCTTTGCTCTTATCAGAATGAGCAGCGTATTTTCCGCCAATAATCCTGGAGCCATAATTGGAATGAGCTGCACATGAATTAGCTTTGAATAAAAAAAATAAGTATGCACAGAGAAGCGTGCTTCGCATGTAAATGTATCTTTGTTCGTATTAATGTGATAATATTCGGCGTTCTTTCCAAATTTATTTTCGCTGGAAAAATTATATAATTTACAGTTTTGCGTTCCTCAAATAGCACGGTAATCATTGATCATTCCGAGAAAACGTACATCCATCACGGTTTTCTATTTTAATTATGAATATTTATTAGTTTGGTATGGAAGTACAGTAAATTTCTGCATATTCCTTTTGTTCAATGCTTATTTCTATACGAATGTTTTGGTTATTACTAATTGCTATGTATCTGTATCGGTTTCAAGGTTGACTGTTCAACATAAAAGATTTGTTGTTTTAACAATTATTTAAATGCAATCGATTCATTAACAAATTGCTATATTCTTGGAACTAATCTTCGGATTTGATTACATCTCGATTTTCTTATCAAAATTATGAAGTGTTGATGGAGATTTGTATTTTTTACATAAATTAAACCAAAAATGCTTATGGAATCGTTAAAAGTTAAAAGTGAGATTTTAATGGATTATTATTTCATTAACGTTTGTCCTGTTTATTCATATTTGGATCAATATGTCTTATCGATGTTGAGAAAACGTCTCGCGAAATCGTTTCTAAACAGGTTAGCGATTTCTCGTCAAGGTTATCGTTAGATAATGATTTTCTTTAAATATAAATAATAAAATAAAACCTTATAGTATATAATTTTTCGCTGGGCAATTAAAATTTGCATTCAATAATACAATAAATTTATAAATAAATATTTCCATCGATAATTGCAAGAAAAAGAAAAAAACTATGAGTGATTCGAATCGTTTCGCAAAAATAATAACTCTAGCTTATCGCAGAGCGAATTTTGAATATGTTTTTTCTAAATTTGGGATAAAGCAGATGGGATTTCCCGTATACATCTTGTTGTGGTTTCATGATTAAATTGGCGGGTATAAAAGGGGAAGCGTTTTGCTGAGACCATCAAAAACAGATTCGTACGTTGTCGAGTAAAAATGAAGTTCATTGTGGTTTTGGTTGCTTTTGCCTTGGCTCTTAACTTGGCGATGGGTTTTGAGGATCCGCAAGAGATCAGCGAAATTATCTGTGAGTAAAGAGATTTTCAACTTTCCAAGTTTTTGGTGTTTATTTAGACAAAAAAAAATGTTGTTCAGATGAAGGCGATGGTTTTCTGGATGCCAGCGAGGTTGGTGGTAGAACCAAGAGGGCAGCGGTCAGTTGCAGGAAACCGTTGAGGTTAGCCTGTCTCACCAATTGCCGCAATTACAGAGGAAAGAGGATATGCATCATAAGATGTAGATGTTTTTGAAATCTGCATATCACCTGTACAGTGCACATATATTTATTGTGATAATACGTGTATTTATTGTTAATTTTAATAAACGTATTTTTTTTTATATTCGATAATTTTTCGATTTACCCAAATGCAATTTTCCTATCTTAACCTAATTTTGATATAACTTTAACCCTTTGATACATCTGCAAAAGACTAATGGCGCTTTGTTAAACTAAGATTCGATGACTGCGCCATGCATACAATTTTGCAAAAGCATAGTTTTACCTGTATAAAAAGTTGGGCGGATATATCCGCCACCATTAGTTAAACTTAACTAATTATAAAAAAATGTGTGTTTTTCAGATGTTCTCACACATTTCCGGAGCCCACGTTAATTCTGCAGTGACCATAGCCGCTTTGATCATGGGTAAAATCGACATAATCACCTTTCAGTTTTACATTGTGGCTCAATGCTTGGGTGCTTTGGTCGGTTACGGTCTCCTTTGGGTGAGTACAACTGGTTAACTAAAAGAATACCATTTAAATAACGATAATTGAAATGATGCAGGCTTTGCTAGGAATCACCGCGGAATCACCACAAATTCTCTACTGTCACACCACGATATTTATGGTAACCGAAGTGCAGGTATATTTGACTATTATTTAATAAACTGTTGAAATTTAGTTAAAAAATATGTTTTTTTTTTTTTAAATTTTAAGGCTCTTTTCATCGAGTTCATTGCAACGATGCTACTGTGTTTAGCTGTGAGCGGTCTGTGGGATGAAAATAACGATAACAGGGGAGATTCGATTCCAATTAAAATAGGACTTATTTTGACTGGTTTGATCATTGCTACTGCTAACTATACTGGAGCAAGTTTCAACACGTTCAGATCTCTTGCGCCGGCCGTATTTTATAATGAATGGGAGCATCACTGGGTAAATATAACTTTAATTAAATTATTTTTTAATTACGTCCAGAAAGTTTGTTCCAATATTATAACTTCATTCTATTAATTGACAAATTCTACTTTACTAATAACTCAATCTGATACACGTGACTTTTAATTAATCAATTTAGTTTTACTTTATAATTTTACTAAGTTCATAAAATAAGTTACAATGCAATATTTAAAAACTAATGCAGAAAGAAAGTGCTAAATCTATAGCCATAGCCAACTTTTCTTCCAATTGAATTTGAAAAATAATGCTTTTAACAAATCCAGAAAGTAAGTTCTCATCTTTAAATTAGAACCTGTTAGCTTACCATATTTTTATATAAATTGGAACTTACTTTATGGATATTCGCCTTCACAACAACATCTAATCAATTCATTCTAATTATTCTTCCAGATCTACTGGGTTGGTCCAAATCTCGGTGGAGCCCTCGGAGCCTTGATCTACAGATTCCTGTTGCAGTCGAAATAGAATAGTAAAGAGATTCAATCGATCACAATAAAGTTGTTTACTATTTACTGTTTTGATACATGTTTATTTTTGTTTTCCACCATTTCGGTTGCATCCAATTGCGTCCCTTTCGTTTTCGCTTCGCGTGTTCCCAGCCTTCTTGATTAATTTATATGCAATACATTAGCCCTCCGACCGTTCGATCCCGTAATTATACGGAAAATGCGGCAGCGGCGGAATGATAAATTTGCATTTTCATTTTTTCGGGCCTCCTCCCAAGGATAATTAAAATACTAACAGCTAAAACTGTAACTTCGGGTCAAGGTTAAAATCGAACACTTTCGCCAATTTTGTACAGGAATAGCCACACTCTTTACATTTCATTTCTACAATTTAATTTAGAGATTTGTATCTAGAATTCAATCAATTTTTTTGAATGATTATATAATAAAATTAACGGTATTATTGAGCGAAATTCATGGAAATTAATAATGGAAAAGTGCAGATACATCATGGATTATAACGTCTTCATAATTTTATAAGTGAATTGAGTGAGTGTAGGTTACAACCGGCGTAAACATAATTAATTATATTACAAAGTCAATATTTAAACAGTGAAAATATATGTGCACGCTTTTGTAGTTAAAGTGTGAATTATGAATTTAAAATAAAAAAGAAAATAACAAAGAAAGTTATTGTTTTTTCTCGCATTTTCTTTTAACTTAAACAGAAGTAATTAATGATAATTATTGCTTCTTTTTGCATGCGTTTTCTTTTAACTTAAGCAAAATTAACTGCAAACAAAATTACGAGCAATTAACTTCTAAAGGAAAATAAAAGTGATATAATTCAATTGATAAAAGGTAAAAATCATAACATTGGTAGGAATCCTTCAAAACTAACATAATGCTATCTATTTATCGAAATCGAAGTTTTAAATAAATAAATGTATTGATCCATGCAACAAACAAACACGTTACGAATTTAAATTTCATGTATTATCTTGTATGAAAATCTCAAAGCGGACACGGGAAATAGTTTAGAGAGAAAAAAACAGGGATGAAAAGTGATATAAATAATTGTTTCATAATTGATTTGCTCGGCACGCGAGCAATAATTACCGATTCGTATTTTTTTCCTCTCCATCTTCTATAACATCGTTTGTTACATTTACATTTAAAGCGTTATTTACTTTTGTTATTTGTTTATATTCGCCCGATCCGAATCGCATTTCTCTTTCTCTTTGTGAAACGAATAACATTCGTGTTGCTCGTAAACCGCATAATACGTGAATTGTAAATTATAATTGCACGCTTTTTTCACTCTCTTTGAAATCATCATTTTGCATTGCAATTTTATGTGTTGTTGTCTTCTATTAAATGCAAAACAATAATAACAATCCAATTTGTACATTCTTTGAGATTTTATTGAAGTTTTGAATATATTGACATCCCAAATTATAGCTAAGAAAATTGTATAAAAATAAATTTTAACTTGTTCATTTTTGTAAAATTATTAATATTATTGAAATAAAAAAATACTAATAATAAAGAAGTAAAGATTCCATTAAAAAGTAATGTTTTATCAACACGAAATTCAGTTTTTTCCATTGTTTTGAAAATTACAAAAGTAACTGTAACTTGTGAACTAAACGTTAGATTGTCATGAAATTTTGACAGGTGTCGTCTGAGGATTGGTAATTCCTAAAAATCATATGGATTTTTCGATAGAGACTCCATGTATATGTCAGCCTACGAACTTATTGAGTGATTGAGTGATAGACTTTTGGTCCTAAATGGGCAACTAAAAATGATTAAATACAAATAGAAATAAATAAATTTAGTTGAAATTTTTAATATTTTGGTTTTAAAGAAAACTTTACTTTAATTTGTAGAGTATTTGTAGAGGAAAGGAGCAAAAAGGAAATTTTGTTCATGGTTCAAGAGATATATTAGAATTAGCTAATAATTATATAAGATAACAAAACTTTGAATTTAATTTATCCATTTTTTCTATAATTTAAAGATTAAACATGTTTTTGTATAGTCAAGAGAATAAGTGCGTATTGCACACCTGTATATTAGATAAGAGATCAATAAAAATATGTGCGTTTTGCACACCTACTTACTTGATAAGAAAGCATTAAAAATTAGGCGAAAATACCTAATCTACAACACCGTGAATCAGCTGCACCTGTGCATCTCAAACATTCTAACAATTCTAATTATGGAACGAAAATGAGTGCGTTTTGCACATCTATTTTCTATTTATCTATTTTTGGATATACATACCGGAACTGAACAACTGTATCTCATTAATGAATAGTTATATTTGTTTACTATTGTGCAATACATTTTAAATATACACTTACTGGAGTTTAATTGTAGTTCAGTTTATTTAAATCCTAAATGAAATTTTAAATAGCCTAAAACCAATTAGTGAAATTTATCCCACCTCGCAAATGTTCCTTCAATCAGACTGGAAATCTAAAATAAATTAAATATACCCAATGGCACTAACAAAACAACCTTGGGAATAAAGAGCTAAAAGAAAATCTAACAAGGATTTTATCGCCATCCTACTAATTTAACAATACTCACTAATTAATAGACTAATCACTAGTAATACAAGTCTTAAGAAAGACTAAAATGTTTAATAATAATAATTAAACTTATTTGGATCAGATCCGATTTACGACACGAAGAACTGGCTGCACCTGTGCATCTCAAACGTTGCAACAATTCTTATTTAGGCACGAAAATAATTGTGTTTTGCACATCTGTATAATAGATAAGAAAGCAATAAAAATGACGAAAACGCCCGATATACGACCCGATGAATCAACTGCACCTGCGCGTCTCAAACATTGCAACAATTCTTATTTAGGCACGAAAATGAGTGCGTTTTGCACATCTGTATAATAGATTAGAAAACAATAAAATAATAGGCGAAAACGCCCGATCTACGACACGATGAATCATCTGCACCTGCGCATCTCAAACATTGTAACGAATTCTTATTTAGGTACGAAATGAGTGCGTTTTGTACGACTGTGTAATAGATAAGAAAGCAATAAAAATTGGCGAAAACGCCCGATTTACGACACGATGAATCATCTGCACCTGTGCATCTCAAACATTCTAACAATTTTAATTATGAAACGAAATTAAGAGCATTTTGCACATATGTAAAAGATTAGAAAACAATAAACAAAGAGGCGAAAACTGCCGATCTACGACACGATGAATCAACTGCACCTGTGCATCTCAAACGTTGTAACAATTCTTATTTAGGCAGGAAAATAAGTGCGTTTTGAACAAATGTATATTAGAAAAGAAAACAATAAAAATTTACCGAAAATGGCCGATCTACGACACGATGAATCATCTGCACCTGTACATCTCAAACATTTTAACAATTCTTAGTTAGGTACGAAAATAAGTGCGTTTTGCACATCTGTATAATAGATAAGAAAGCATTAAAAATAGACGAAAACGCCCGATTTACGACACGAAAAATCAGCTGCACCTGTGCATTTCAAACATTGTAATAATTCTTATTTAGGCATAAAAATAAGTGCGTTTTAAACGTATGTATACTAGATAAGAAAGCAATAAAAATTGGCAAAAACGCCCGATCTACGACACGATTACTCAACTACATCTGTGCATCTGAAACGTTGTAACAATTCTTATTTAAGCACAAAAATAAGTGCATTTTGAACATCTGTATAATAGATAAGAAAGCAATAAAAATTGACGAAAACACCCGATCTACGACACGATGAATCAACTGCACCTGTGCATCGCAAACATTGTAACAATTCTTATTTAAGCATGAAATTAAGTGCGATTTGCACATCTGTTTAATAGATAAGAAAGCAATAAAAATAGGCGAAAACGCCCGATCTACGACACGATGAATTAGCTGCACATGTGCATCTCAAACGTTGTAACAATTCTTATTTAGGTACGAAAATAAGTGCGTTTTGTACACCTGCATAATAGATAAGAAAGCAATAAAAAATAACCGAAAACGCCCGATCTACGACACGATGCATCATCTGCACCTGCGTATCTCAAACATTTTAACAATTCTTATTTAAGCACGAAAATAAGTGCGTTTTGCACATCTGTATAATAGATAAAAAAGCAATAAAATTTAACGAAAACACCCGATCTACGACACGATGAATCATCTACACCTGTGCATTTCAAATATGATAATCATTCTAATTATAAAACGAAAATGATTGCGTTTTGCTTCAAATTTATTGAAAAGTCTATACATTATTTTAGAAATTTATTCTTGCGTAATCAATTTTCTTCAAAAAGTATAGAATTTAGACATATATTAAAAAAGAAATGAGAATTTGGAAATTGAAATTCTCTTAATCTAATCATTATTTAATTTATAATTAAATTGTATAGAGAAAATATTGAAAAAAAATGTAAATAATTCCAAAATTATCCATTATAGCTTTTTATGAATATTTTTATTAATAAATTAGGAACAAAACCCGCAATTATTCGCCCAGACGTAAACGAAGCGCGTTTTTATAATTATAGAATTTAATTTTAAAATTAATTATTTAATTTATAAACAAAAATCGTTCATCCCTAAGTTTTATTACCTTATTTTTAAACATGTAAATTTGTCATCACTGTTATTTGCTTTTAAAATAAATTAGATTAGAATTAGTTATCTTATTAGAATTATTAGCGTATACTAGCGTTTTTCAAACTGCGAGTCGCGATAATTAGACTCAATGAGCAATGTTCCAAATAACGCGCCAAATGATTAAATGTTTTTAAGGTAGGCGTTGTAACATCAAGTTTGGAAACAATCGTCTTGGAATTACACTAATTTAAAATTAATTATTACGTGAAAAACGGTTTCGGTTTTCGAACAGGCTTTATTAATAAATTACGTCCGACAACCACTGCACTTACTATAATCATACAGAAAACAAAAGTAATAGAAACCCACGGTTTCCGGTAATTAAAAAAAAAACAATAAACAGTTGCAGTTAATTTGAACCGTTTGATGGTTTTCAAATGATATTCGT